TTTTTCTAGTAGCCATGCTTAGTAGATTGTTTCCTTTATATCTATCATTCATGAAGCTAAATGAGTGATAGGGATGCTCATCATTCAGACTAAGTAATTGGATTTGTTTGGCAAAAGACAAGAACAGTGCCACATGAAGCTCTACCTTTTAATTAGCAGTTTAAACGTTGGGGTAGAGAATGTGCACTACACATATATGAAAATGCTAAAAATGCTAAACCCTTGCTCTCCTATGCAGAAATAACTGAGGGCAGGAATGAAAAGTGTTTTTGAAAAGGAGAAAAGACCCACATGTGGAACGATATAATGGCTGGAAGGGAAAGAGGTGAAGTCAATAGGGAAGGAAATGGTTGCATTGTAGCTCTTCTTGCTTTGCTACACACACAATTCACGTCAAATGTTATTTATTTATTTATTTATTCATTCATTCATCCATTCATTCATTCATTTACATACATCATAACCAGCAATCAGTTCCATGATTGATACCCTTCTATCATAATTTCTGCATGTTCACAATTCTTCATCTATTTTTCTCATCTTCAGTAAACATTTTACAAAGAAACACTAATTCATCCTCTTGCCCCAATTTTTCACTACTTGTTTGTAGCCTATAATTATTCATTTTATGAAACACAAATACTTTGATCTTTGATACGTTAATATTCAGATCCATGTCCTTCATTGTATCCATGTTCCTCATTGGTCTTTATTGCATCTTTATCATGCTACAATTTGCTTGTATCTTAACCCAATAACACAACATTATTTACTTACAATAAATTGCATGCATTCATTTTATTAATCAACATGCTTCTGACATACTATAACAATTCCATATATGTTTATCTATGAATGTATTAAGCAATAAAGTGGATATCACATATTCTTGTCTTTATGCTCAATGTGGATCAATTCAATTATCTATTCTCACAAAACTCATTTCCAACATTCACCATTCTTAACTGCAATCAGCATTCAAGTTTAAATTCTACATTTGTGTAAAGCATTCATAATTGAAGCCTATACATTTCATTTGATGCTTTTTTAAAATCTGGTCAGTGTATCAGATTACACTTCCCAAATTTCTATTGTTTTCACTTCACTTACATTTTCAAGTAGACTTTGCCAGGCAAGAAAAGCAAAATAATCCTCTCGTAGTTTTTATATTAATTCAAAGTAAATAATGCCATACTTTCCATAAACAAACATCCATTCATTTGCTTGGGTTTAATGTAACCAGTATTTTGATAACTAAAGAAATTAATTGCCCATGCAACTGAAGACCCCATGCTGCTGTCAAGCATATAGCAAATTGAAATTTTGCAACTGGGATAAACCAACAAGCAAAATCAAAGGAGAAAAAATATATTCCCTCCTGTTCTGAAATTATGAAACTCTTTTAATACAGTAGTAGTGGTAATGGTAGTGGTAATAATAGTAATACAATTTAAAGGAGGTATTTCTCTCAATAATAGCCTGAGTGAACTTCAGTACTTCAATTTAACCCTGTTTAAAAGAAATAGATGTGAAATATGTGTACTTTATGGACCATATTGTTCCTTTTAAAAAAATCATATAACTACTTCCTAAAACAGATACTTAAATTGTCACTGTTCTATGAAAGAGAGGTTAGCAGCAAAGAAAGCAATTCAGTTGAAAAGTGTTAACAGTGTTGGTGTCATGGCCCCATCAGAGCCCGGGGCCGAGGAGGAGATGGAATCGGGGCCAACAGAGGGGGAGAGTGCAGTCCCTATGGCTCATGAGGAATGATCTGGGGATGGGGATGAGGCAGTCCCAGACCATTCAGGCTTCGGAAGAGTAGGCAGGGAGGAAGAGAGGGTGCAGACTGACCAAGGAAGTGGGGAGGAGATGAAAAGGGCAGGCAATGGAGCAGAGGAGGGCCGGAGCTCCAGAGATGAGCAAATGCTTCCCCCACCGGATCCCCAAGTGCAGAGAATGGAGAGGAGGCAGAGTCAATGCAGGCCACCCAACTACTTGAGGGGGTGCACCTCTCCCAAGAATCACCTGGAGAGTAGCATTTAAGGGGACGCCATGCGGAGGGGCTTTTGTCAGGATCAAGTGTTGCATTTTGCGGCACACGCTCCATGGCTTCAAGAAGAACTTTGCTACAGAATCCTTGCTGGTGTAGAATGAAGTTTGATCCTTTGCCTTGACATTCATTGTGAATGTTACCAAATTTGAGGTCCTGTCTTGCCCCTGGATGGTGCTACTTCTGTGGACTTTCACTGCCGGGAAGTTGCATGAAGCATGTGCAGGCGCACGTGTTTGAGCCTTGCTCCTGGACTGTAGGGGTAACCTGTGAGCAGAGACTTTGGAGAATGGACCAGGACTTGTTGGATTGTGGGGATTGATGCTTTTGACATGACTGCAATGTGTTGAAATAAATTCTGTAAAATTTAAATCCCAAAATTTTTCTGTTTTGTATTACACTGTAATGCTTGGATTTTCAAAGAAGAAATATTTTGAAATGACTCTTTGAAATAAAATATATTTTATTGAACCATTGGTACTGAATTTAAATACTCCTTCCATTAGTTTGATTGGACACAGAGAACTTTGTCTTTTTGCAGTTAAATCAAATGTATAACTCTGATTTGATTTCTGCAGAAATCAAAGAATGAACTTAAATGAATATTTTCTTCCAATTAATGGCAGTAAAATGAGATTTAAGAAATAGTTTACTGTTGACATTGAAAACGAAGAACTATTACAACTGGAAGAATTACAAGTAAATTAATTGAATTTTCTGTGCTTTTGCCTTAAAAGGGAATTCTCATATACTTTCCTTGATTGATTTTTCTTGATATGTAGAAATGGCTATTCATGTTTATTTGAAAAAGCAGTAAAATTACTATAATGCTTTTTCATTATGGCATATGAATGTGACCACATTATCCAGTGTTCTATTTTTAGATATGTAGTTAATGAAAAGCTATGAAGTCCACAGCTTTTAAAAGTTATGTTGCAACTCAGGGAAGTGAAATTGTCAACATTTAGAGCGCAGTTCCACCAAGCTACTAATCTTTCACACAAACACAGTAAGTTGCTTAAAAATTCACATGAAGGAAAGACACACAAAGCATATAAAGCATATAAATATGCTTTGATAGATTAATTCTGAATCTGTTGACCTCCAGTTAGGTTGAAGAGTACAACTCCTAGACTTTCCACATGATATCATGGCATTCTTATAATGGGTATGAACTCTAGGAGTTTCAATCCATGTTATCTAGGAGATATCAAATTGTGTAGGTCTACAGATCCATTAAACACGTTGCTTCATTTATTGCAATCAGAAAGGGAAATAATTTCTGTGTTATAAACCTGCCTCTGAAGAGGAAAGTGTCCTTTTTAAAACATTTGTATACTATAAGGGAACTTGTATGTCTTGGAGTTTGCCTTATTTTAAATGAGGGAATGTCAAAGATAATTCAGCATTGCAATTTGTGTTGCTCAGAATATAGACCATCACATTCCGTAGAAAATTATATGAAAAATAATGTCAATTATTTAAGTAACCTTCTAGAATTTCATTTAGAACAAAATCTGAAAAGTAAATGATAGCTGTGTATGCAGGATGATGTTCCGAAAAGTGGGAGGAAGCAGAAATGAGTCAAACTGACAACATTCAAATGGCATTTGAGAATCAGCAGAACCTGTCCAGCTTTAGTTTTGCTTTCTCCAGAGCTTCAATGTACTCCAAACAGAGCAATATTTATAAGGGAAGAGGGTTGTTAAGTTCCTCCTCATTATTCCATTACTTTTTCATGCATTCAAGCACCCATAGCTTGTTTGTAGCGATGCACAGAAGATCTATAAATTAGGGCCCCTGAACACTTGTTAGTGATATAGTCAAATGCAGATCCATTTGTGCATGCCTAGCTGTACTGTGGAGATCTTCATTGCTGCATTATCCTGAGAGTTGTGTGTAGCCACATTATGTTTGCCAAGACTTATGCTTTCAACTTTGATGGAAGCTGAAGGGAAGATTGTGTCCATAAGGGCACTACAAGTGATACCCAAATTGATATCACTTAATTGTGTCCAGCTTCAAGCATTAGTAAATAATTTATAACACTAATAAAAGTAGTAATACATTTATTCTCTATTATCTCTTCATTGTAAATAAATTCAGTTTTTTTTTAAAAAAAATTAATAGAACAAAGCCATTTACTTTATGGCAGCATGGTAAAATAAAGCTATTCCAAATTGCTGTTAACAATTCTATACAAGCATTTTATTTTTCACTGAAAATCTTTTCAAGTTTGTTTGTTTTTGCTCTGATATCCAGAAGAGAGCCATAGCTTTCACTCTTGCCAGCTTGAAAATCGGTTTGCTACACTTCAGAAATCATTCCAATGGGAAGCACTGTGTTCTGACATGTTGTCATAGACAAGCTTCAGTAGCGCTAACATGCATAAAGGTTATGTCATCAAATATTAGCATTTTAAAACAGCAATTAGAGAAATTCATTTAAAAGAAGCGTGATCCACTCTATCACTATGTGGCGGTGTTGAATTCCTTAAATGTGCCTAAAAGAGCCCTGTGCTTGTGATCTTCAAATGGGTTGGGACTCTAGTTTTCAACAGTATTTAATATCCTGCCTTTTCTTCAGGAGCTCAAGTTAAGATACAGTACATAGCATTACCTTCTTCTAATTTTCCCTACAATTCCCTTGAGGTAAGTTGTGAAGGATTCAAAGTTATCCAGTGAGATGTTGTGCCTGATCATTTACTGGAACCTGTATCTCTCCACTCTTAATCCAACACTTTAACCAGAATTTCACTTTGTCTCTCATATTCCATAAATACAGTCCTAACACATCTGGAGGGCACAAGGGCAGTGAAAGGATAACATATTTGATATAGTTAGATACAAATAAGGTGAACTATTGAGGCATCCTATCCAGCAATGTGTTCCTTTTTTCTGTTGCACATTTGTATCCAACTAGTAATATGTATTATTTTTATTTTTAGTTCCTGCTATGATAACCTCCTATCCAAATACCACCTTGGCAACACAGGGTCAAAAGAAAGAGATGAGTTGCACAGCTCATGGGGAAAAACCCATCATAGTCCGCTGGGAGAAAGAAGATAGGATAATTAATCCCGAAATGTCCCGCTATTTTGTTTCTACAAAAGAAGTGGGTGATGAAGTCATCTCTACTTTACAGGTGATAAAACCAAGTTGGTATTTGCATTTACAGTATGGGCAGCAATTTTGTCCAAAAATAAAAACAGGCACCTATGGGGAGATTTGATTTTTTGCTGTGCTGTCCAGCCACAGAGCTTCACTATCATTTGCATAAACAGATTATGTTCATTGATATCTCTTGACAATACCCCCACACTACCCTTCAGTTTGGATTAGTTCCTAATTTTTCAGCAGGCTTTCTAGGTCTGATGCTGTCCAGATAGATTGGACTACAACTATTCCCAGTCAAGATGGAATCAAAGACTTTATTTGCCTAGAAAATTCAGAATTTCAGGCATGTCTTACATATGTTCTTCATAAGGACACATGATTTTTTCCAGATTACCAGAGTAAGTGAAGAAGATTCTCTTCCACAGAGACCCTCTACTCCTATTTTCCTTCTCTTACATTGCCAACAAGCAGAAATTCCAATTCTGCCTTCATCTCTCCTTAGATGAGAATTCACTGTATATGTGTTAACATTTTGGGCTCAGAATGACAGTACTAAAAATTCTGACATTGCTCTAGCTTTACACAAAGTGGACTTTGAATCCAAAACAGTCATGGAAAACTCTGCTCAGTCGGAACAGCATCGCAACACTTCCAGTCAGTTAACAACCCTGACAGAGTAGATATTTCAAGATCAAAATGGTTTCAGCTTGAATCGTTTTGCGCAACTCTGTAATTCATCAAATCTGCAGAAAAAATAATTTGATAACTTTCCTCCTCAAATAGACTATACTAGGAAGCAAAAGGTACAGAGCCAACTCAAGTGCTACCCAGGCAAGCTAGCAGTTGCTACCAAACATTTCTTTATGATACTCTTTATACATGAGATGGGAGCAAAATCTAAGATTGTCACCATCTATTAGTTTTCATTTAGATACTAATCCACTAGTCTAAAATAATGTCCACTATATTCATACACATGATCATATATAAATGCACACATATACATTGGGATAATTCTTTATTTGTGACACTTTGCAGGAATGAGAAATTCAACCAGCTGTTGAAAGCTTATAAAATTGCCTATAATTTGTATATGTCACATGATTTATCAAGCCTATGAAATCAACTTTCAGTTTCATATTTCGGCCTTGTATTAATGGGGATGTGTGTTGGATGTGGATAAATCCTGAATTAATTTGGATGAATCCTAAGTAGTTGTCTGAAGCAGCCCAACTCAGAATCTGAGCCCTACTGAAGCTTTGTTAGCAATTTGTGATGCCACAAAAACCCCTTGTGTGTAAAAATGTGTCAGTTTCTCCTTATTTACACCATACATAAGATCTATTAACTGATTCAATCCTGAAGGATTGTAGACAATGTTTAAGATACATAAGAAACTGCAGAATTTGTTTAAGATACATAAAACAATGCACTATGAAGAGTGAGTAAGGATACTGTTAATAATTGGATGAAGAATTGTGATACACTGAAATATTAAGATAGCTCAGTGCTCTTTTTGCTATCTGTGAAAGTGTGAAAAAAATTGGATTCCTACCTCCCTAGCACCTGCAGCTATCCTCAGAGCTCTTTGAGACATCCTGCCTTAGCAAATAAACCACAAAAAGGAGAAATCAGTCTTCCGCCCAGGTCCCTCACAAAGAATAAATTTAATCCTTCTATAAACAAGACTACTATAATTTTTTTTTCTGAAATTTTGTATATTTCTTAAGAAGGGTAACCTTTTCATGTGTGCTAAAATACAACAGATGTACGTACACCCCCCACCCATCCAAATGTAAATGCTTCTTATGCAGGCAAGAAACTAGACCTAATCAAATTTTGTGCATGAATTAAATTGTGCATGAATTAAGTCTTGTTCATCATCGAGAAAAAATATCTGCAGAATACACACAAACCTTTGACAGTAATTTAGGTAGAAACAAAACCCATTCTGGATTTAAAGAAACACTTAAGAGTTTCTCAAGTAGACACAGCTGCTTTTTTAATAACTTTATATTTGCTGTAAGATTCACCAACAATCTGTTGACAAATTGTAAATTTAAAATAGAAACTCACTGGAAAAGAATTGCTAGACAAAATCAGATTGAATTTATCCTTTCATGTTGTATTATTACTGTAAAATAGAACTGGATTTTCTAACAAGAGAAGAACAAGAAATAATTATTTGGAATCATGTGACCTGATGTTGTTCTACCCAGCTTATGCTGGCAGCTAAGGAAATACAGGTTCTGCAGGTTGCTTGAATAGAATCTAGGAATTGTATCTCAATCATTTTGGACTGTATAAAGGAAGATCAGGTTATATGTAAAATATAACTCATATAAAATATATACATAAGAAAAATAATGTCAATTTCAGTAAGCTTAACTTCTTGGATATGGGACTTTGGATTGCAGCAATACTGATGTAGCTGCAATGTTGTTTACTGACCATATAAACTTTCCGAACATTAGCAAATATTGCAGTGAAGGACAGGCTAAATTTCAATGTTTCCTATTGAATGTATTTTCTTCTTTTTAATCTACAATATAGATTTTGCCAACAGTGCGAGAAGATTCTGGTTTCTTCTCCTGCCATGCCATCAATTCATATGGAGAGGATCGTGGAATAATTCAGCTCACTGTGCAAGGTAGGAAGAGGACAACATAAGGAAAAAAACACAGCTATTGTAGTACAGTAAGTGTACGTCATGCTCAGAAATCTGTTGGGGGGATTAGTCATAATTAAAAATATTTATTGGAAGCTGTTGGAGGTTCAGACTTACCACTGGAACTATTAAACCTGAACTGTACAGCTACCCATGAAATACATTGCTTATGGATGGAATTGTCTTAAATCGGCAAATCTGATATAATAAGAAAGATTAGAATTTAAACATAACATTAACATAAAACAAACTAAAAGTCCTTACTTGGCTCCACCAAGCTGGTATCACATTTAAAGGAGCTCATCATCCATATGTCAGATTTTATGAATGAAACATTTTCTTATTAGGGTACTATTCATTCATGTAGCAACAAATTCATGAATTAAGTGCCCTATGAATGTGATTCTAAATAAATGTTTACAGCAGTCTCCCTACAGCTGGTCTTATAGTCTGATATCATCTTACTATTTATAATTAAACCGCAATGTGGATTACTATTCAATAATAAACACTGTTGACATAATGAGATTCAGGCTATACAATAAAGAATAAACTCAACAGAAGTCAGTAGGACTTGCTTCTGTCTAATAGTCATAGAAGTGTGCTGGTGATCTTAATTAGGTAATGTTAGGCTTGCTGGTGATCTTAATTAGGCAATTTAGGTTTACAGTAACCTAAACAAAAACTGTCTGATTTCAATTATAAAGAAGAACTAGTGTAATTTTTAAAAAGACAGTATGCTTTAATGAAATGCATCAATATATATTCTGAATCCAAATAGAATGTACCTAAACCAGATTTCCTTAACTATACTTCTCACTAAGGAAAGGAACCATCATCAGATAGGAATTGGCAGGTTCTATAATAGCTTAGGTGATGTCTTATTAAATGCCATATTCAAACAAAAATCAAGTACATGGCTCTACATATCATACTTGCTCTTAATCTTTCATAGACGATCCCATATCCACTTAGGATTCACAGTAAACTGGGATTCTAATTCCCATTTACAATAAATATAATTGTTATCCCTGAAACAAAAGCTTTGGTGTTTTTTTTCCAATTTAAACATTTTAGCTAAAACAACTATGGATTATGGAAAAACTGCTGGTTCTTCTTTATATTCTAGTACAGAATATTCACTTTTATATACATTAGATATCTGTATATTTATAATTTAAATACACATAAACTCACAATCACAATATTTGCTGATGCATCATACAATATAGACCAATGATTCTCAACCTGTGGGTCACAACCCCTTTGGGGATTGAATGACCCTTTCACAGGGGTCGCCTAAGACCATTGGAAAACACATATTTTCAATGGTTTTAGGAATAATTTTATGGTTGGGGTCACCACAACATGAGGAACTGTATTAAAGGGTCGCGGCATTAGGAAGGTTGAGAACCACTGATGTAGATACATGATCCTAAGCCCCAGGCTGTGGACCGGTCCAAGGCCTGTTAGGAGCCAAGCTGCACAAACGGTGGGTGAACGAGTGAAGCTTCATCTGTTATCGGCACATGTGAGGGATCTAGGCTGCAGTATGAAACCATCCCCACCCACCCCGTCCACAGAAGACAATTTTCTTCCAAAACTGGTCTCTAGTGCCAGAAAGTTGGGGGCCATGGGTGTAGATAATTTTAGTAAACAATTTTATTTTTTTTACTTATTTGCAAGACTTCTATACTGCTTAATTTTGATATAGTGTGATTAGCTAACACATTTTAGTTCACTTTGTACAAACATGTTTAAAGAAACGTACTCCCTTCTCCCTCCCCTTTCTCCCACCTCCATACATTCCAAACAAAAACTGAGAGGGCCATCCCAAGAGTATTGACCTTCTAAAGACTGCAAGATGGTAGCCCCTTTATGTACCATAACCAGATGGATCATAGTTGAGTCTTTCTTCAGTACTCATGTCATAAGAGTGTCTCTGCCATCTGGGAATGGTAGGACAGCTTAAGAGGACATAATAGATACCTGTGCATCCCCTTAGGCTATCTTCTACCATCTTGCTTCTACTTGCCAGAATTTAATCCTTAAATGACTATCTCTCTTTCCCAGTTGATAGTGTTGCACTAACACATACAGTACATAGTAAGAAATGTAGAAGTAGAGAGATTCAGTTTTAATAGTACTGTCATCTTAATTTACTTAAGTTTATACTACAGAAAATCAACATATGAATTTTGTAGACAACAGCAGTTCTGGGGAGAGTTGGTAAAAGTTTTTGTTCAACTTTATACATATTAGATTTCTAAATAAGATGAGAAAAATATATTTCTGAATTTATGGAAAGGGACAAATGAATATAAAATCCACTGAGTGAAGAAAATAGTAAAATAGTTTAGTGTTGATGTACCATATGTTTTCATGTCATTGTAAGTGGTGTAACTGATTCTTTCTCTTAATTAAAGTAGAGTTTGTCTGTTTGTCCAGAACCTCCAGATCCTCCAGAAATAGAAATTCGAGAAGTGAGAGCACGTAGCATTGCCCTAAGATGGACCATGGGATTTGATGGAAATAGTCCAATCACAGGCTATGATATAGAATGCAAAAACAAGTCTGGTAAGATATTCTATTAAATCCATCCTACAGCTTTGCAACATTTCCTGCTTTTCTATTAGGATGGATGGATGGATGGATGGATGGATGGATGATGATGATGATTTGATGATGATCTTACTTTTGCTGCATGAGCTTGATCAAGGACTTTAATGAAATGTGCCAAATATGTAATAATTATTTATTTATGTAATTTTGTATTTATATGTAGTAGTTTTTTCTCAACTATGCAGAGTCTATTTTATCTTAGCTGATGATCTCTGTAATATTAAGAATAAGTGTCTGAGTTTATTTATTTTGCTCTTCCTTCCTGTAGATTTAACCTTTTATGCAGATTGGTTTCAATTACAGCTTGAAGACTGAAGAATTATTGTCTTTATTAATAACGATGTTTAAGCAGAAAGCATTATTAGAGAAACATAGGAAGGCAGCTTATTCTCTGTCAGACTCTTGTTTCCTGATATTTGTAATAACTAGTGACCTCCCCAAAGTCAGCAAAGCCAAAACAACATATCATTTGCCCTAACGTCATCGATGATAAATGTGAGCTTTGTAGCCCTCCCTTACACTGCTTTCTTTATGCCGCTAGGACACCAGACTCATGACAATGACTCTTCTTCTCTTCTTCCACTATGTGCTTTCCACTCCAGGTTACCAAGATTTGATCATAATAATAAGCAAGAGGTTAACGGTTCCCCTTACTATGTTTTTAAAAATGCATTCAATCAGATTAAATTTGGTTACATTTGAAGAAGATAGTTAAACAGATACATCAAAGTACATTTTCACAAGAAACTAAAATCTCTGACCATTTAGGTAGCTGCTGGAAACATGTGATTAGAATTCAGTAATCCTAGGCAAAGCTTAACAGCTACCAGGTTCCCATTTATATTTTTGAGCTACAAGATTTGTAATTGGCTCTCTTTTTTGTAACTTCATTTCCACAGCCTCACTTGGAGGCTGCAGATCAACCTGCAACTAGTAAAGGTGACAAATCAGATATTGAGACAATAATATCATTGGATTATTTCTTTTATGAATGTCTTCAGATAGAAAAGATCTTTCTCTCTCGAAGCAGCTAAGTGAACATTAATTTACTGAACAAGACTTGTTAATACTATTACCTCTATTAGCAACAGAAAGGGAATCAGAGTTGTTTAAGGTGAAAATAACTTTATCCAGAGGACAAAGGAGGAAAGGATTAAGCCTTAGGCACTTGCAGGGAGAATATTTTTCCTTTCGTCTCTTGCATAAATTTTATTTTTCCTTTGCCTCTTTGGAAGAAGGGTTGTTTTCCACTTAGTAGCATGAAATTTAGAACCCAGTTTTGAAGACTATTTTTAATATCTCCAGATAACAGCATTCTCATTTTAAACAATTTCAAGCTTAATTTCTTACATTACATTCTTGTATAGTGAGTTACACATGTTTATCAAGTAGCACATATTAGAATTTACATAAAATAGTTGGTTTTTTATGGCCCTGGCCATATAAAATGTTGGTGTAGTATAAATGAAAGACATCACCTGTATGGTTCTTTTTCTTACTAAATTATGGCAAAAGGGTGTTTAGAAGAGTTCTGGTACAACTGAGCTGATCAAGTTAGTGAGGTAGAGTACTTAATTAAGCTTGGAAAGGTAACAGGGCCAAGGGAAAGAGGTGTGTAATTATGAGCCATAATCATGATGGCCTTCTCCAGTCTGGCATTTTCCTAATATACTGCAATACCTCTTGCCAGATAAATTTAGAATTCTGAAAGTAACAACTGTAGAGAAGGTGCAGAAGTCAAGAAGACTGTCACATTTGTATTTGAGAAATATAAGACATATTTTTATTCCCAAGAGCACCAAGGCAACCTACTTGTTTTGCAGAGGACAGAATGATTGAAAAGTTGGCAGAAATGGAAAACTATCAATTTACTTTTAAACGTATTTTCCTCAATTTTCTCCAACTAATGAAAACTAAAACTTTTGGAGGATTTTTCCTTTCATTCCTCCTTAATTTTATTTTTCTTTAAAGATGATCAGAATGATGTTATTGTTGATGATGACAACGACAATGATTGTTCAATTAATTTAGAATGCAGCAGTGCAGATAATTATGGATGTATCTCATTATGCCCATATAACATCAAACTCCATGAGCTGCACTGGTTTCCAACAGGCTTGCAGGTAAAATTCCAGGTTCTGGTTATCATCATTATAGCCCAACATGTCATAGGACCAGGTTACTTGACTTCCTTCTTCCAAGAACATCTGCCTGTCTCCGACACTTCCACAGAGAGAGCCTGCTATAGGTTCATTCTTTTAAATCTTGTTATCTTAGGGGCTCTAGAAAGTGTGCCTTTTCTATGGTTGCCCCTGTTTTCTGGAACAATCTGCCTCCCAATATGCTGTTCATCTTCATGAAAGCCATTAAGACCTGGTCCTTACCCCCAGGCCTTAGAGATCAGTTTTGCTTGTTCTACTCTTATTGCTGGGTTGCCATTTTATATTTATATTTTCTTAAAATCCTCCAGTGATATTTTTATAGAAACCTGAATTTATGTTTCACTGAGAACAAACAACATAACTTTTAAGGTAACTAGACAACCCATGAACCTTTGAGTTATCTTTTCAAAGACATTTCTTTATGATTCCTCAATGCCTTCAACAATGGCAGAACTTACGATGTATTGCCTTCACTGGAAAAATTGAGATACATTTAGAGGTACAGTATATCTGCCTTGAAAATAGCCCATGGTGAACTATATAGCACAGTCAAACATCAGCACAGGATATGTTATGTAACATTTTGTATTATGTCATAAACTGTTTTATGATAATTGTAATCTTATAAAATCAAATTTGTCAAATTTCAATTCCATAGGAGTCATGGGTCCTGAATTCAGACACATTCTGTAAATTAGTTGACCCAAAAATTGTTATCTTGCAATACATCATTTCACCCAGTCAAAAATAAGAGTTTTAATAATGCATATAAAGGCTGTAGATGCTGAAATGCCTTACTAGGTATGAAGGACTTTAGCATAGTGTGTGTGATCTCTAACCATTCATTGTGGTCTGCTGTTAATTTTATATAGACAATAACTAGATTCTGAATATACCTATTGAAGTATATTCAATAGGTATATTCGTTCATTCTGGTCTAGATGCTATAGACTAAATCTATTAATTCTTCTTTATCACAGCAGTAGTGGTTAAGGGCAAATGCTATAGAAATTCCTATAGCATCTTTATGTGCAGAGGCTTATGAAAACAATAGAGGAGTTGACAGAAGATACTGATTAGGACAAGCTGCTGAACAAATTATGTGTGAATAAATACTATTCAGATTCTCTTGCTTTCATTTCTGTATAGCTGCTAATTCCTCAAGCAACTGTTCACAACCCTTTGGCGCCCAGTCTTCACATCTGCTAGATTCTGTTCATTTCATGCTTACACTGAAGCAGAGAAAGAGATTTGTACAAACTTGAGAAAATAACAATATAGTATTGGGGTTTCATCCTAGTGCTGCTATGAAGTTGTTCTGTCCCCGTACCACGCACACACCCAACCAGCCAGCCGAGGGTTAAATAAACTCTTCAAACACTCAACGTCAGTGATAAGGAACTTGGCAGCAACTCCGTGGCTGCCTGCCAAGGACTTTTACTCCGATAACACAGACAAAAATACACACAGTTTGAATAGTCCAGTTTGTAATTAAATCCACAGCAAATAGGTGTTGTGTCCGAAGGTGCAAAGTGCTTCGCCAGAGATTAGCTTTGTCCGTCACAGAGTCCAAATGGCCACCACACTCCCTTTTATAGCCTGTGGGGGGTGGTCCAGTGACTCAGCTTAATCTCTGGCACGCCTCCTTTTCTGCTGCGCCCGCTTGTCTCTCTGACGCTGGCATGGGTCCAACCACAATCTTTCTTCGTCACTATCTGACGGCTCGGAAACACCTGGCTCCTGGCCAATCTCTTCTCCTTCGGGAGACACCTGAGGCATTGCCAGAGAGGAGGGTCCTGGAGAGGGAGGCCTGGCCGTCTCCTCTCCTTCATGTTCGGAGCCTTCTTCCTCCGATAAGATAGGCTCGGAGGACGGAGCCACAACAGTCAGTCTCCCTCCCTTCTTAGGCACTTTCCCCCCTTTCCTGCTCAATTAGAGTCAAAAAGAATTTGATGCCATAGATATCCAATTTTCCAGATTTCATATGCCCTCCTAATCAAACAATAAAGTATTTTGGCACTTTGAATTCTAAGAGATAATGATTGTTCATAAAAAAAGTAGTTCCCCCCTCCTTTTTTGTATTTGTTACTGTTAATCCTCAGTATTGATTAGATAGAGGAGCAGTTGAGACTCCATCCTGTTCTGACTGACAAGATAACTATTGGCCATTAGCAGACACCTGCACTTCACTAACCCATCTCTTTCTGTTATTAGGGACAACTGTTGCAATCATTAGCCAACTAACTAAAAAGTTAGAAGTCATCAAGATGTGAAAGGCTGGAGTACTGCATGAACTTGCCTATTTGTTCAAAATAATTTATGCCAAAGAGAACAGTAGTGCATAAAAATAGGGTCTCCAACTAATATCTGTTCGAAGTATTTTCTTTAATATCTTTCTTCTTTATTTTCTCTTAGCACTTTGAGGGAATATGCATGTTAAAAATATTTATTTATTTATTTATTTATTTATTATATTTCTATACCGCCTTTCTCCCGTAGGACTCAAGGCGATGTACAGTCAAGAAAAATATAGACACACAAACATCATAAAATTGCTAATTAAAATTGTTACTTAGTTTGGTCAATTAAATAAAACCCAGAATTAGATAACATTTAAAAAATCATTCGCATGTTTGTATGTTTAGCCCTGCCTGTTGGAACATCAGGGTCTTGAGGGCACGGCGGAAAGCACGGAGATCAGGGATATTCCGTATCTCCGGGGGCAGTTCATTCCAAAGGGTTGGAGCCCCCACAGAGAAGGCCCTCCCCCTGGGAGTCGCCAGTCGACATAATTTGACTGACGGTACCCTGAGTAGTCCCTCCCTGTGAGAACGAACTGGTCGGTGGGAGGCTATTGGTGGCAAAAGACGGTCTCGTAGGTACCCAGGTCCTAAGCCATGGTATAAAATATGTGTATACATACTGACCAGATCAAAATCTTATCTAACTAAGAGTAAATATAATGAAATTTTACCAGTGTTATCGGTCCTTGAAATGGTTGACTTGTTACATAGTTCAATATTTTAAACAAAGAAAATCATAAATGGAAGAAAATTTATATATTTCTCACAATAGACTCCTGGGATTCTGTCCAAAGAACCAAAGATGTTTCTCCACAGCTGAATCAAGCCACAATCATTGACCTACATGCTTCTTCCACCTACAACATCCGCATGTATGCAAAAAATCGGATTGGCAAAAGTGAAGCCAGCAATGAACTTACTATCACCACTGATGAAGCAGGTACTTTCTACATAGTTATTATTAAACTTTGGAAATTTTTAACATGCCAAATATTTCAAGAAATTCTATACATGATGCATTATGGCAACAGTTAAACAGAGTTCCTCAACAGCCTGATATTAATACTTTTATATTTAATTTTTTTCCATTGGTCACTTAAACACATGTGTAAACATGTGTTCATATTTAGTACTGGTTTAAATTCAAGCCATTTTGTAACCTTTTGGTCTCCAAATTGTGAATCTTTATTTCAATGGACCATAGATGAAGAGGAGATGACTATTAAATATAAAGTATATACTTGTGGACATTTATATTCTCTGTATCATGTTATCATAACAACATAAAAATTACATTGTGTCATTTGTGTACTGATGACATGAAAATGAAATCATTTGGGTAATGCTTTCATTATATAAATAACATAAATCACTACAGATGATGTAAAAGTAAGATGAAATTAATGTAAATTAAACTCTTTCAGCTGGACTATTTTGGAAGCAATCAATACATTTACTATTTCAGGAGGATATATATGCTTAAATGATGGTGTCATCAAATTAGGGTTTCATTGTATTATGTTTTAAAGTTTTTACTGAAGGGGTGTCTTTAATTATCATATAATTAAAGCATTGATGGCACCTTACAGGCAGAAGTATATGGCAGAATTAAATCTGAGATTATGTTTGAGTTATTTCAACTCTTTTGATCCTAAATTAAAAATGGGAGATGGGGGGGGTTAGTAAGCCAAAATTTGATCAGAATTTGAGGTTCAAATTCATGATTTGCTTTCACATTAGTGATTCAAAATTTGAAGGCAACTTGATGTATATGTTTTGAAACCTAAATTAATAAAATATTTAATTTAAAGGCTAAGGTAAAAGGTTCAAAATGCTTGCACTGTTTCATTTTTTGGCAGAATGGGACAAGAATAGCTGAGGGGTAGATTCTTTAATAGAGATTAACCTTGCAAAGTTTCACCTGGATTTCTTCAAAGGGTTCAGTCTTCAGAGATGTTTTTTTAAATATTCCCTTCCACTTTATTTAACGGCAAGCATAGCATGAATGAGGAAAGGTCAGCATAGCAACTTCCAAATTGTCCAAAAGAAAGTCAGTAGAGAAGTTCCATTAAAGGAATGTAAATGTGATACCATTTTACAAATATAACATTAACAATGCTGTTTAAAAATAAATTTAAGATTGCAGAGGCCACCACCATCTGACTGCTTGTTTTACTGAAATATATGTTTGCTGACATGGTTCATTAAGAGTGATCTTTTGGAGGGGAATATCCCAACATGCTACTTGTGAAACATTTTTTAAAAGTTTGAGAACTATGTATATCATCACTATTGTAATATAATACTTAGCAATTTAAAGAAATGTTTCAGATTACAGCAATCTAACAGCAAATATACTCTCTCAGATAAACTTACACAACAAAGATGGACTACTTAGTGCAAACAAAACAGATACATAAATAATAGGAAGAAAATATTGGTGGTACTGAGAAAAAGGGAAATAGAAAAGGTTGAAAGAGCTAAAGAATGCTGCACAGCAGAACATAGCAATTAACAGAGATAATAACTACATGTCAGCCCAACAAGTTGAGATTTAGGGAACAATATGGATAAAAAGGAATGGATAAGAAAAAAAGTAAGGCTAGAGGTATAGCAAAGAGCAAACAAGGTTTTAAACAGTCTATCCAGATGGTTAACCGTATACGTTTGATTAATAAATAAATAAATAAAATAAATAAAAAAGCAGCAGAAAGACTCTTAATTTCTCTTTTCTGTCTTCTTCCAAATGAACCTGCCCAAACAATTTCACAGAAACAACAGAGCAGTGTTCCCACAAGCTCCCCGTCAGGAGGATTTGGAGAAAATAAAACGTAGTGGCTGGGTTTCATGTCAATATCAGAAAGCTTATCACACCATTCCAAGCTTCTCCCATTTTACCAACATCAGTTTGGTTTATGACTGATGGAAAACAAATCAAATATTGGAGACTTAGAAAAGTCCATCACATCTCCAAATTGCCATTGAATCACTCTGAATTAGATGAAATACTTAATTTCATTTGGTGCCTTGGAATGATTCCATTTGCCATTGTGATTCTAAGATATGATTTTGTAGAATCCATTTCAAATTGCACTTTGAACTTTCCCATGGCCCCAGCAAATGTTGCATTTTTTTAAAAATGTAAAAAGAAGTCAAGCAGATGAGAAGTGGAATTTTGTTCAGTAACACTGCAAACTGCCTTGGACTGAGCTATTGTAGATCATTGATCTCTCTAGTGTTGAGATCAACATTAACATCAGGAATTTGGACTGGTAAATGAACTGCTACCATTTTTATTAGTTTGTCTTTCTGTAGTCTCTGAGTGTGCCTTAATTCCAGCTTACTCTTTTTTACCAAGTACTTCTAGTTTCTAAGAGTTCATGTTCTCCCAACTGGGGCGCAGATATGCCCCATTTTTTATATCACGTCCTTATGACATTGCTTTCATATCATCCTCAACCTGCCACAGAACTAGCATAAAGATGCTTTTTGCTGTTTGAAACAAATGTTACTCTTCTTCCCATAACGAAACCTTTCCTGTGGATGCGATCTAACATTCTTCATCAATGATGTGTTTGATGACATAGTCAAAGATTTGGATTTGCCTAGTTCCTTCTGGGCAATTTAGGCTGCTGTGCTATGTCCTTTAATAGCTGGGCTGCTGTCCATGGCCATCTTAATTTGAGATGCAAGAGAATCCATACATCTGGCTTTTACAGAGGCAGCTGCCTGCATGATGCTGATTGGCATTTTGAATAACACCAGTCAAGCATTGCCCAGCATCCTTATCTAAACGTACTTAGCACTCTTTTGAAAAAGAACTAGATGTATGTTTACAAACAGGACTGTCTCTCGCTTGAGAGGTATAATATAAACTGAGAAAGTGAGCTGAGATATGCCAAGTTTGTTTTCTTGGCTCTGTCATCAATTAGGGCATTATAGGTTTTCTAGTTCTGCTGATATAGGGGATTTGCCTGTTTGCGCTTTTTAGTGAGTTTGTTACTTGGGGCCTGGCACCATTATACCTACTCCTGTGCCATTTCATCTACTGCAGCTGCCAGCCATGGCCACACACTGTCATTTCCTTGCAACACTAATTGAGGACAGATCTCACTCATTACCAGTCCCTCTTTTGTACTTCATCACATACTCCGTAGTCTGTGATTTATCAGCTGTGCTATTTTAAGATGTATTTTTACCAGCAACATTTTGTATTAATTCATCACAGCAGGCAGATGGAAACTTGAGGGGCTGGCTCTTACCCAAGAGGGAATTAGCCATCTGAAACAAGGCTTCTGGACAACAATCTGCCAGTGCAATAAGGGAGGAGAAATAAGGATGTTTTGCCTCACTGATTGTCATGAAGTTGGCCCAAGGATGGGCACCTATTAGATTCACTCTTAGTTGTTGTCCACCTGCACTCTTGACAGAATCCAGAGAGAAAGAGGCTGCTCAGGGCTCATTTCACTAAGAACGTGACCACCAGCCAATGTATTTATTAAATAAATAAATATATATATATATATATATATATATATTTAATAAATACATTGGCTGGTGGTCACGTTCTTAGTGAAATGAGTGGTTATTCGGGTCTTCTCCCACGTAAAATTGGAAGTGTCTTGGCGACGTTTCGACGAAGTCTCATTCATCATCCCACTAGCAGTTAAAAGGAAGAGACAGCTGCGATCTCACATTGCTCCTGGAAGCACGAAGCCGAGAACACCAGCCTGAAGATGACGAATGAGACTTCGTCGAAACGTCGCCAAGACACTTCCAATTTTACGTGGGAGAAGACCCGAATAACCAAAGACCTACATACAAACACCCGCGAAAACCTGAGAAAACATATATATATCCAACTCAAATAATGGGATTCTGGGTGACAAACCATATCAGTAGCCAATCAGACCCTCATCACAGTCACCCAACAAATTGTCAGTGGAATTCCTATGTCTGCCATAAACCAACTAGATCCATAAGGTATTTGGGGCAGGCCATATGACACTCTGGCCCTACTGAGTCAATGCATGACTGTTAATTGCAACCAGACCAGAAATGATTTGACCATGTCAACAGAAGAATATAATATTCTCTAGATCCAAATCATTTAGCAAAATGCTCCAAGGGGAAGACTAGATCTAATGACCACTTAAATGTGTCAGAGTTGAGATCACCTGGACAAGTCAATGATTGCAGTGGGGACAGAATGTGCTGAAGAAAACAACCACAACTATCACTCCAGAAATAAATGTGCCAGAAGCGATAACGGCTTCTGTAGAAACAAAATATCTTTGAGAAAACTCAATGAAAAAGTTGACAAAAATATGCTTCCACTGCTTTAGTCTCCTGCTACCTCACCAAGGAATACATCTCATACTCTTTATGACTTGTATATATTTATTTATTTTATTTTTATTTATTTTTCATATTTGTATACCGCCCTACTCCCGAAGGACTCAGGGCGGTGAACAGCCATAATAAATGCCAATACATATAGAAGTTAAAAACTATTAAGAAACAGATTAAGTAATTTAGGCTCAAAGATTAAAAAAACATCCAAATTTATCTAAAGAGGTTTAAAACCCAATTTAAAAGCCAGTTTAAAAGCCAATTAAAAAGGGAGAGTTAGGCCAGACCAGCTTGTTGGAATAGAAATGTTTTCAGGGCACGGCGGAATATGCGTAAGTCTTGGATGTTTCGTAACTCCGGGGGAAGCCCGTTCCAGATGGTAGGTGCCCCCACAGAAAAGGCTCTCCCCCTGGGGGCCATCAGTCGACATTGTTTGGCCGACGGCACCCTGAGGAGTCCCTCTCTATGGGAGCGAACTGGTCGGTGAGAGGCTATTGGTGGCAGGAGGCGGTCTCGTAAGTACCCTGGTCCTGAGCCATGGAGCGCTCTAAAGATAGTAACCAAAACCTTGAAGCGCACCCGGAAGACCACTGGGAGCCAGTGCAGCTCGCGCAGGAGGGGGGTTACATGAGAGCGCCACATTGCTCCCATTACCACCCGCGCGGCCGCATTCTGGACCAGTTGGAGCCTTCGGGTGCTTCTCAAGGGGAGCCCCATGTAGAGAGCATTACAATAATCCAGGCGTGAGGTGACAAGGGCGTGAGTGACCGTGCGTTTATTATTATTATTATTATTTAATAATAAGATGCAAGATACTTTTCAAGGAAGGTATAACTTTCTGATAATACAGAATCAAATACATATTGTTACTTTTAGTATCACTTCATAATACAAGAATTACCTCAGTTTTAAAAGATTGTCATGCTGTGATACATAATGAAAGGAATAAAATATATTGTACCAATGATTTGTAGTGGAGAAAGTAGTAATCCTTGCAATGGAGTTAAGCCATTGAAAAAAACCTGAGAGATTAAACAAAGAATTTAAAATATCAGAAGACAGTGTGACAGAATAGAGAGGTAAGCATCACCTGTCAACGTGTCATGTGAGTTCCAAATTGTATTTGTGGATGGTAACCATAAGTGTTTCCCATTATGGAAAGTTCCTGCTTGTCTCTCCTTAATACACATATGCTTACAGAACATTCTGTATACTATTTATTTGCTTAATTAGCTAGTCATATTTCCTATTTTTCATTTAACTGAAAATTAATATTCCAGAAGAATCCAATTATCTTAATTCAGTGATTAACTTTCCCACTAATAAAGTACAATCTGACGTTGAAACTTTCCATGCTGAATTAAAGGTCAGTTATATGGAATCATAATCAAACATGTCAATTTATTCAGAGTAAAGCCAGGAATGCGGGGGAGGGGGAATCTAAGCTTTTAGCTGAGTCACAATATTTGTTGCCTTTGTATCAGCTGGGAATATATGCAGAACACATGGAAGCATCACCATTTATCCTTGTTTATTCTAGTTCACCACACTTACTGTAAGCATGTTAAATGGGTATAGATTCCCAAGCATCTGAAAGAAGCCTGAGGCATAGAACATAATGAAGATTTTGCAAAAGCAACATCATGAAATATGAAACAAAAAATAAAAAGGGGAGGGCAGTGGAGGGCCACTACTGGCAGAGATGTGCTTCCATATCATATACCGTTGTGACTTCAGGCAACTGGTATATTTTATTTAAAGCTAATACATAAAAGGAATTCTTACAGCAAGAAGAGAATTATGGAATCTACACTGTCCTTCCATTAATTTTTAGCCAAACATGTTTTAGCTCCTATATACTTTTCTAATAAATTGCAGCAGCAGCAGCAATTCATGGAAGCTTTTGCATCTAGCAGAATAAAACAAATTCTTTGTTTTAATGTAAGAGACTTGCAGCAGAGTTACAGTATGCATAAATAGATATGCATAAACAGTTTTTTTTAAAAAAAAAATATTAGCATGGAATATTCTTACTTTTATGCCTGGAATGTTTGTATGCGTTCTAAGAAATTTGATTGTTTTACTTTCCATTATTGGATGATGATTTTTAAAAACAAGTAGAAATTCTTGCTGGAGATTTGAAATATGTATGTTTAAGCAAGTTTGAGGAAAAATATATCCTTTTTTCCCTATAATCAATACGGTTTAAAAAGCTTCTGCAAAGATTATTCCTGAGTAATGAGACAAAATTCCCTTCATGAATTATGTTATCTTAACCAAACTTGAGTGATTTTCTATTTTGAACAATTCTCCTGCAAAGAATTTGCAAGGGTCCCTTATTTTCCAGAGTGGTTTTATTTTGGGGGGGGGGATTTTTGGGGAGAAGAACATCAGAAACTAGGAGAGCCTGTTCTTGGAAGATCACAAGAAACAGCCTGAAAGTAAACTGGATCTTGTCTGCCGCTTCCACCCCTCCCTCCCCAAAATGGCTTTTCTTGCCAATGGCTTTTGTTGCCATGTGGGCAACAAAAAGAGACACAAATGTTTTTGAACTTTGATTTCACTATAAATACATAGCAGTCACTGGAATGCTTTCATGATGATGATTTCATATGTTTTCTATAATGCATCTCCTTATCATAGCTTGTGTCCTTAGAAGTCTACCACATTTATGTCAGTTTCTTGCTTAGTTGGTCAAGAGAAGTTTAACAATTTTTTTCAGGTACTTCTGTAAATTATCTTGGAATCCAAGCATTTACATTTCCAAGTTAGCATCTCCCCACCCTCCGCCATGGGGAATACCAGAAGTATGGATTTCCATTCCCAGGTTTTTTAGCAATTGGTCCACACATCTGGAGGGTTCAGATTGATTTCTTAGCTGGTTCCTTTTAAATTTACAATCCTATAACCACTAGTTGTGGGGCGGCGGCAGGGAGGAACACTGTAACCAGGGGGCACAATTTTCAGGTAAACATAGACCAATTTGATGTATATGACCAGTTTTCTTTGAATTACTGCATGGCTGGATTTCCTGGAATGAAATCCATATGGAACTTTTAAACATTCTAAAGAAATGTTTTTCAAATATTGCATATTAGATCCAAAGGTACTGATGGCAGAATATTATCTTTTTATGTACTTCTACTTCAATGGTTAAATATTGTGGAATCATTGTTACATATAGGAGAACTACAAGCTACCTGTAACTGGATAGGCAAATGATAATGTTTCACAGTTAAATATAGTATTATTAAGTCTTACCTCCCTTACGGTAGATTCTGTGGGGTTACACATTGCTAATAACTCTGGTATAACTAGAACAATTGAATTTCTTGAAATAGCTTTTCCATGCCTTCACAGGCATGTAGATCATTGATCTCTCTAATGTTGAGATCAAAATTAACATCAGGAATTTGGACCTGGAAATGAACTGCAGCCATTTTTATCAGTTTGTCTCTCTGTGCCCTCTGAATGTACATTAATTCCAGCTTACTATTTCTTACCTGTTATGACTGGTTTCTAAGAGTTCACGTTCACCCAGTGTAATATGCCCCATTTTTTATGACATATCCTCATGACATTTCTTTCATATCACCCTCAACCTGCCATGTAGACAGCATAAAATGCTTTTTGCTAAGCTAATGTTATTCCTCTTTCCACAATGAAACCTTTGCTGTGGCTGCAATCTAACATTCTTCATCAATGATGTGGTTGATGACATAGTCAGAGATTTGGCTTTGCTTAGTTCCTCCTGGGCACTTTAGGCTTCTGTGACAGGTCCTTTAATGGCTAAAGGTAAATACAGTGAGAACTGTTCTGACCCAGCTTTAGCAGAAGCAAGAAACAGACTTCTTGTCATGAAAAAACCCTCTTTATTTACCTCTTGTGAATTAATTGCATTCACCCACCGAAAAGTCCAGGCATTAGTCCCTCAAGGAGTTAACTGCAGTACAGATCTTACCAGTTCCTTGTGATAATTGCAAGGCCGTGAGCTCCCAGCCGAAAGGCTGCAAATTAAGTTCTGGCAAGCAGTCTTTATGGCACAAAGCACAATGAACAAAATCTTTAGAAATACAAACTGTTGTCTCCTATGACAACCACTCCCCTCTCCTTCTATTTATTCCCCAGCCAGGGAGGGGCCATTTAGCGTCCATGTGTGCTTTGCTTCCTGAGTCGACTCCTTGTCCTCCATTGCTCACCTCTTCTAACTGCTCTGTGCATACACGCATCTGGAACAGGCCCCAGCTGTTCCTCTTCCTCGTTCATATCAGCCTCCAACGGCAGCTGCCTCTCCAGTGGCTGGGAAATGTTGGATGGCCCCTGCTCCATTTCTGCATCCAATACAGAGTATCAATCAGAGCCTTTCCCAGACTCCAGCACTGGACCAAGTTTCTCCCCAACCTCCTCATCGTCCGAGTCTGCCACCAGCTCTGCTGGCAGCTGGCATGCCGCAACAAGAACATCCTTAAATGGAAAACCTTCAACATTCCCCATCTCAGGCAGGAGAAGGCTGCAGAAATGACAACATGGATGGTTGGATCAGGGTGGAATTAATTGAGTCATGTGTTTTGTTACCATTTTGTTGTTCACAGCAACAGATTTGCAACTGCCCTTCGCTATATATCAGTATTCTAAAAATTGAGAATGTTTAGTGATACAGCATGTTGTTTTATGGAGCACCAGAAAGTACTAAGTATTTTAATTCATATATCTGTCTTTTTACCAGCTCCTGATGGACCACCTCAAGATGTTCATCTTGAGCCCATATCTTCACAAAGCATTAGGGTAACCTGGAAGGTAAATATATACATGTGTTTTAAACAAGAAGATTATGTCTTCAAGCTTTATTGAGGGCCCATAACACTCAAAGTTAAAAGGTGCACAGTTTGATGAATTTATACACACAATATTTATGGCTAAATTTTCAAAAATTACCTGCAACTTAATGTAATTGCAAGCTACAGTAAATTTACATGCAATTATATATACCTTTGCTTGTGCTATTTTGAATATCTTATGATCAGAAATACAACTGCAATACATAAAATAAATGGAAGTTTAGATTAATTCTCAATTCCTTCCATAATATGATAGTATTTTTAGAGAAATGTTGCTGGAACTTTTGCATTATAATGCCAGTACACATGAACCAAAATGTAACCAATGTTTAGAAAATTATTTATATTGAATGCATTTAATAGATTTGTGAGGAAGTTTTAAATAAATAATTGAAACACACTACAATTATTTTAGATATCTTTTTAGTGCATCATAGTTTCTACATTTTTAACACACATAAAATGGCTTTTTTTCTTTCCAATCTTTGCTCTGTGGAAATAGATAAATTGGATAATGGAAAGACACAACTATTGGAAATCGATAGAGAGGCTAATTTTTCTTATTAGTCTGAACAGTTGAAAATCCCGCCATTTTGATAAAAATGAATATAGAGGAATTAGTAGAATTGTACAAAACATTTCACATTTGAAACAGGTTGTCCCCCTTCTTATCAAAAGAATTTGATTACTACCCAGTTATTCCACTGATTTTCACATTTATTTTGGGTTATATGTTAACACTTTATGTTAAAAGTTCTCTCAAACTAAAACAAAATGTTTGGAATTTGAAATGTTTCATATTCATAATATTTTACAAAATGCTAAATAATAACACCTGATGCAGAGTTGTAATATATATGTGAAGAGCACCCAACACAGAGTTGTAATATATGTGTATTGAGGTTTTTCTTATAGGCAGCTGATAGGCCAAATGCCTTTTTTTGCATTTCATGAACATAAAATTATGATAAGGTATCCTCAAAGATGAGCTTAATTCCCGGTGAATTCATAGATGCATCCATGTAGTTTTCCTGGCATTAATATTGAAAGGGTTACCATTACCACCTTCTGGGATTCCCCCCCCCCCCATTTAACAGCACTCCTGGGCTTCCCTTGTTGTCTCACATCCAAACGCTAACCAGATCCAACCCTCCATAGCTTTTTTAAAACTGGCCATTGTCAACTGGGTTTTGTCAACTAATCTAGAAAAAAGCCTTTAAGGTGTACAGTATACCTCATTCTTGAACAAACTGTAACAATGCAAGACAGCAAAAGATAATCAGACAAGAAATGAAAAAGAGGAATCTGGTATGTTTAGTTCATAGAAAACATGTTTGTAGAGAGAATATTACAGCAGTCTTCAAAATGGATGGCACAGAAAAGATGCCCATGATCTGTTCTCTACCATTACACAGTACTAGGTACAGAATAATCATCATCATTTATTGGAAAGAAAATTTTGGATGAATAGCAGGAATATTTTGCTAATGGTAGCAATAGTATGACAGTGGAACCAATTACCAAAGGGAAATAGGGAATTCCCAGTTGCTGGATATGTTCAAAGAGAGGCTGGGCAGTCACTAGTCAGGAATTCTTTAAACTGGATTCATACAGTGAGCAAGAGGATTATGTGTCTTAATGTTATAATTGCTTCCTTCCTATTCTATAATTTTGCAGATCACCATGACCTTTTTTCTCCAAATAAAAATCCAAGATTTTTTCTTATCAGTGTATATGGGTAGAAATGAGCAGCTCAATAGACAGGAAGATGTGCAGTATTTAAAATGTGATGCCCTTCTTAAATGATAAAATCTATCTGTGCAAGTATACTGGATTCAAGAGTACCATAGCCCATAGTATAGTCTTTAACCAAGCTTATTTTCTAACAGAAATAGATTAAATTAAAAGCCACATGTAAAAACACCTGGACAGCTCTGGTTAAGATTTTAAAATATTATTCTGCCAGTATTTGTTACTGTATATGTTGGAGAACTGGGGAGTTACTTAAGACTCTTAATACTGAATTAATATATTTGCTAATCAATGTCCCTCTGCCACGATGCACCAATAAAAATGGGAAAACTGGTATAATTGCAATATTCTTGTTTTCTTAAAAAAAAATCCCAGAATTAATAAAGAGCCCGCTGATAAATATATCTTAAAGGATCTGTTCAGATTACCACATCCATAAATAAACTTAAGTGTTGTATTAACTGAAAAATTATTCAGTACCATTATAAAAAAACGTAACATGCTTTTGTAATACTTTTTGTGCCTATGAAAAATAAGAGAAACAGAAGAGGTTATCAGAAAAGAATTGCTTTTGTATTTAAGACAACAAAATTCACGAGGAAAGCTAAGTTATTGTGTTTATCTAAGATCTCAAATTTCTGTCATTCAGGGGAGAAAGACTCTGTAATTATTGGCAATTTATAAAAAAATAGCAGTAGACTGTCATAATATTTAGCTTCTGTTTTGCTATCCACAACATTTTAAGACATTTTAATTCATTTTATTGAATTTATGAGTAACTAAAATTCTGTAGTTGTATCTGCAATACCTCATGCAACCATTACTGTTCCAAGTTAGATCGTTCACATGAAGAGCTCACATATTTAAACACCTGTGTTGTCGATCCTAGCTAAGCAGCAGCAGACTGGTTAGTATGTGGAATAGAGATCACAATGATATCCTGGAACTATATGCTGGTCCAGGAAGTTGAAAGTCATCCTAAAAGAAAATAATGGCAGTCACTTCCAAATTGTTGCCAAGAAAACAACATAGATATATCCAAATAATCTACGTGTGTCATGTTTGAACCAAAGGAATTTAAATTGAAATGTAATCTAAATATTTTGATTAATTTTATAAATGTTTGTGGATTTATTTTTTGAAAAATGAAAAGGAATGTAAAATCTTTTATAACATTCATAGTAATAATAATTGTTCTGAAATTAGAAAATGTAACTCTGCTCTCACTTTTTTTTCAGTGAAAAAATGCACTTGATTCAGGGAAAATATTTATTATTTTTATCATCACAAAATTTCCCTGAAATTAGAATCCACACTAGGAAATTACAATTAATATTTTCACAAATAAGAGGGAAATGGCCAGTGGTGGGATTCAGCCAGTTCGCACCACTTCAGGAGAACCGGTTGTTAACTTTCTAAGCAGTTTGGCAAATTGGTTGTTGGAAGAAATCATTAGGGCAGAGAACCGGTTGTTAAATTATTTGAATCCCACCACTGGAAATGGCTGATAATATCTAACAATTTAAGACCGGGGGGAAACTGCCTTCTTCTATTAACATTAGGGAGCTGAGTGCTCTAATTCAGTGACAGAAGGGTTTCTATCTGTAAAAGACAGTTAACCATAAAATTTACATTTGAACATTTACAGTCTGGGGCTCAAGGATAGATTATTGCAAGCGTAATTGATAATTACAGCTTTAAAGAAAGTTTCACTGTGATGATTGCTTCAGTTATAAGAAGGGAAAATATTCCTACTTCTAGTATGTCTTCAGAAATATTGCTATTACATTTTTAATTCAATTTATATTTAACTTTATCATAAACCTGGAGCTCAGCCCAATCTGCTTTAGTAGTATGGACTTTGGGAAAGGAAATTTTTCTCAGCATTTAATTTATTATGGTAATGTTTTATTATGTTGAAAGTGTATACAACATCTGACTTCTTTAGGCGCCAAAGAAGCATTTGCAAAACGGAGTTATTCGTGGTTATCAGATTGGTTACCGGGAATACAGCGCAGGAGGCAATTTCCAGTTCAACATCATCAGTATTGATACTACAGGAGACAGTGAAATTTATACCTTAGATAACCTTAAAAAATTCACACAATATGGCATGGTTGTGCAAGCATGTAATCGAGCTGGAATAGGACCATCTTCTCAAGAAATTATCACTACTACTCTTGAGGATGGTAGGTATTAAACTTGAAAGCACTGTTTTCATCATATTGAGGATGCATAGAATTTATATGTTTATATTTTTAGAAAATAGGATTACATTTAAGCATCAGTGTATATGCTATAATCTGGCAGCAGTTATTGGGTAATCTGTTAATGAGAATCATTTTGAGTAGTTATATCTCTATTTCCCACTTTTGGGATGCTATTTCTCTTTCTTCCCAAATTGCTCCCTAGGGATAATTTGTTTTTGACTATCTATGAAGAAACAGTAGTTTTTAATGATATCTTTTATTGAATGCAGTATCAAATGTTGTGGTCCTAATTATGCTGTACTCCTTGAATGGATTCTTGAATTTGAAACACTGTCATCCCCCCCCCTTTCCATGTGGGAAACAGAAGGAATCTGAGCATAGTCAACATCCTGCTATTACTATACAAAGAATCCTGGCAAGTTTTACAAGATGCCCATCAAGCTGAAATCAGCAAATGAACGGCTCATGTTTACATGAATTTAAAGAGTTTTGTGGCATACATAATGTTCTCATTCATGGTCCCCCAAATTAGACTATAAAAGAGGACATGGAGGAATAATGGCTAATCTATCTTGTCTTATCATGGTCCTGAGTTAGATTTCCTCAGCTTCAAGCTGTACTTCAACTTCTTCCAAGCTGGAAGAGGAACTCAATGAAAAACACTGTTTGGAAAAAGGCACATATGCATATAAGATTATTGAGATCAAGTTGTTCAGAGCTGCAGAAGAGAGCCCTCTTGTGGCTATATTCCATCAGCAAAGAAAAGTGTGGAAAAGAATGTATTATCATTAGGACTTGTGAGGGACATTCTCAAAGGTTTATGCGATTAAAATAGTTACCAAGGAATATCATCTGAAATGAAATTCTTATACATATATTCTTATAGAGGCACACGTGAGTGTGTGAATAATGTTTATATTTTAGTGCTTATTTAAATATCTTTAAAGAGCATTGCCTGTTTGCAAGTCAATATAGTACGGTTAAGAGAGATTCTTCACAATCTGTCTATCACTACTGTTTAGAATTCAGCAACTTGTCAAAGAGATTATTTTAGGTTGCAAACATTTACAGGCCTTGGCTTTGTTCCAGCTGAGAGATTGTGTGTGTGTGTTTGTGTGTGTGTGTGTGTGTGTGTGTGTGTGTGTGTGTGTGCAGCAGGGATTCCCTACTGTTGACTCTGAAAAAAGAGAAAAAACACCAGCTTCTCATGAATTTTATTCATAGCTTTTAGTGATGAAAGTTTTGGGTACATACAATGTTTCTGATAGCTTTGAGCTCTTTTTGTTTACTGTTATAGAAAATTGAATAATTTATATTAATAGTTAATATATTGGTGATATTCTATTTTCTGGATCTTGATCAATTTGTGAAGTAGTTTATGAAATATTCTTTAAACATTAAAGAACACTAGTTGGGGAAGCTGGCTTTCCAAAATTACCCACTCTGTATGTAGAAAAACAAAATGTCAATAAGAAAATAGCATCTCTTAGTGATTGCATCTTAGAAGGTTATTTATAATTTGAGCTACACTTCTGAACATAACTGGATTAACTTCCTTCTCTGATATATTATTTTATTTGTGTATACATATTTCTATCCTACCCTAATTCATGGCATTTAAGGTAACAAGAGTTACAGAGTGCACCATTTTCAAATTGTCTACATTATGTTACAAGAGCGTTCTAAAAATAATCTTATCACTCTCTCCTAAAAGGCTTATTGAAGAAATGTCAAAGTTAATTTGTGCATACTATTTTTATAGCATTCATAGTCAAAACCTATTACTGTCAAATTTCAGTTCCTAGTTCCCCTCCGGAGAATGTCCAAGCTATTGCTACATCACCAGAAACCATCTCTATCACCTGGTCCACACTGGCCAAGGATGCCCTCAATGGAATTCTACAGGGATTTAGGGTCATATACTGGGCTAATCTTCTGGATGGAGGTAAGTAGTCTTCCTTCTCAAAATCAGTATTTTTCTGGTTGCATGCTTTCCAGAATGAAAGAATTCTTCCCATTTCTATGACAGAGTCAGCCTGTCCTTTGTTTCTATTAATCATTGAATCTTTTAGGAATTGAAAATGATTTCATGTACTGTATTATTCAGTTCCCATTATAAATGTGCACTCTCACTTACAAACAAATATATACATATATATTATATGTCAAGATATTTTTGCGTAGCACTTTATCTTTGCAAGTAGAAAAATAGGGACCACCTTTGGTGGGAAGCTAACAGCGTTCTGTGCGTCTTTGGCATTTAGTCATGCCGGCCACATGACCACGGAGACATCTTTGGACAGCGCTGGCTCTTCAGCTTTGAAACGGAGATGAGCACCACCCCTTAGAGTTGGGAACGACTAGCACATATGTGCGAGGGGAACCTTTACCTTTACTTTACCTTTGCAGGGATGTATTTCTATGGATTGGCAAAACGCCATTGTACAATGATATCAAGATTGCATTTTTGCAGCATCTAAAATGTGCCTAGGTACATAGAGACTGATAGTTTCGAAATGGGGAACAGAATAGTTAAGAATTCTTAACATACAGTTCCATTTCTGCACATTCTGAAATTTGGGGAAAAATTCAAATCAGTAGAGTACTAGAAGCATCTTTGAAATTTTGTAATGTTACCCAACCTTAGGAGTATCTAATAAATCACTGATTAACAATGTTAAGTGCAACTTGCTAGTGATCAAAAGCAACAAGTATCCTCCTTTAGCAATTGCTGATAGTCATCTTTTGTTTGTTATGATACTTATTAGAAATGGAAGGTGTGACTTAGACTGCAATGCTCATTTTATTCACTATATTGAACTCACAGAGATTGAATTCCTATAACTTATAAAGGGTATACTTTAAATAAATTGTGAAGCAGAAGTCCTAATTTTCCAAATCAAATTAGCAGGCAACTGCTAAGGGAAGATAGAAATGGTTCCCCATTGTCAAGAAAAATCTCTGTAGGGTGACTATCCAGGAAGGTAATCTCAGTTTTGTCTGGGAAGAGTGCTATCTTCACACCACTATTCTTGGGTAATTAATCAAGTTATATAATATATATTTTTAAAAAGATAAGTTGAAATTGCTCCTTCCAGTAGAACAGGACAAAATGAAAGGGTTCATTGGATCTAAAATGTTTGGTTTCCCACAAAAGAAATCAAGATCTATTTTATCTCTTACATCAATCTGCTTTGCAACAAAAAATATTTCTGTAACCATTTTTCTAAATGCACATGACATATTTTGATTTGTTTAACATATTTTCAGGAATTAACAGCAAATTAATATTATTTCCTAATCCCATTATTTTAATAGTGTAAGTGTACTTAAACAATAAACAGTGGGGGAAAAAGGGCACATTATGAGTTTCAAAGTATTTTCTATCCACAAGACAATTGCAATGTTTGATTAAATGCACAGCATGGAAATTTAATATGTTCATTTAATAAACATAATAAACTTAGTTACTATGCTGGTCACAAGTTTTACTGGCCTGTTCTCATAGCAATATAACTACCACTTATTGGGAGAAAAATGCTACTGTCACTAACTCAAATTAATTTTCGGTTCTATAGAGCTGGGAGAAATTAAAAATGTCACTACGGTACAACCATCATTAGAGCTTGATGGTTTGGAAAAATACACCAACTATAGCATCCAGGTGTTGGCATTTACACGAGCTGGAGATGGGGTCAGGAGTGAACAGATTTTCACACGGACAAAGGAGGATGGTAAGACCCAAAATATCCTTAGTAGAAATGGAGCACTACTGTTAGCTTTTGCTCAGGTTGTCACTTACCTCTGTAAATGCACCTTCAGTGAAATGATGACTATGACAATAATCACGGAAACCTAGATGTTTCTCTGTGGCCTGCTATGAACTACATCTTTAGGGAGGGTAGGATTGCCTCCTTAGAGCAGTATATCACAGTTTGTCATCACCTCTCCCTATTGACCAACTGCCCAGGATGATGGATGTTGCCATAAAGATAGAGAGAGAAATGCCCCTAGCTCATTATAAACTACTAATTTGTGATCTTTGTTTAAGGCACATTCTATCTTAATCTTGGGGGCTAATTTGTTATGATGGTTTGGGAATAAATCTTCCTGTGATGTTTCTGAATTTAGATGTGCTTTGAATGAATCACAGTAATACGTTCAGTGGGCATTGCCTCTGGAGTTCCTGTCTTTTGGGCACATAGATTCTTTTCTTCATAAAATGGTAAAAAAATAATTATAATCTGTATTTTTATGCAATAAATACAAATCCAAGAGATGAGTAGCAATACAGTATGTGTTTATGTTTCTTATATTTTCAGTCTTGTCTTTTAAAAATCATAATTAACTACGTCTGTTATATAAAATTACATTTTGACTGAGGTAATAATAAAAAGACTAATTTTAAGATTTGCATTTTTGTTCATTCTTTGTTGAAGTCAGAGAAAAATTGTTTCCATTTACAGTATAGTGAATGTTGCAGCAAAAAAAATATGTTGGGTTTTTTAATATTCATTTATTCCATTTGCTAGGGTTTCTTTTAAACTATAAATAGAATTATTTATTTATGGAGTTATTTATAGAATTATTTTTCCATCTAAGGATTTATTTCACTGAGCATTAAAATTTAAATGCAGTCATTTTCTCTCCATCTTCTAGGCTCCATCCTCTAGGCTTAAATTGCATTTTCACAGACTGTTGTATGTGACAGCATGGGAGCTGAGTTATTGCATTCATTAGAAATAATACATTGTAAAACCTTAATTAAAACAATGAATCTGTGTCCCTTAATAGACAGATCCATTCAGCTAGATCCATAGCTGCTGCAAAATAGTCTAGAATATGGTACTAATTTGGACTAAAAAAAGTCTTCCTATTTTATGCACCCTGACTTTTAGAGATTCTCTCAAATGGTGCAAATTTCTCTCATCTTCTTCATGATAAAAGTATTTGCATCACTAGTAACACCATTTTAAGTTTTAAGAGGCAAACCTTACATTATTTCATTTCCTAAAATTAATGCCATGGTTATAGAAATTAAGAAAACCATTCAAAAATAATTTCCATTTCCTTCTAGGAAATAAGAGATATCTAAGCTGAAAAAACATTCAGCATATTGCTGAGGTTTACAAAACTTAGAGCCTCAAGTTGCACTAGCATTATTTTACAGAGGTTTAAAAATTATCACTTCTGACAATATTTTGTTTGGCTGTTTTCCTGTCTGAGGTAGATTAGAAGTAAATGACAGCCAGGTGGGAAAAAAAGAAAGTTCTGTACCATAGGTCTGGATTGTTTACAGTCACTGCACTACACAGAGGTGCTTTGTTTTGGGGGTGCAAGGAACCCCATTTGCCAAAGTGACTTTGGGTTGGTCCATCTCTCTCAGACCAGCCTACCTCGCAGGCTTGTTGTTCTTGTGAAGAGATATAGATTTGATTAGTAAATAAGTATTTATAAGGTTGTTCTATTTAGTAGAAAAGTTGCTTCACCACTTCCAATTTGGTTGCAGCGACTGATTAAAAGAATGCATCCTACCATTGGTAGGATGACATTATAGGATATGAGAGCCATGGTGGCACAGTGGTTAGAATGCAGTACTGCAGGCTACTTCAGCTGACAGCTGGCTGCCTGCAGTTTGGCAGTTCAAATCTCACCGGCTCAAGGTTGACTTAGCCTTCCATCATTCCACGGTCGATAAAATGAGGATCCTGATTGTTGGGGGCAATATGCTGACTCTGTAAACAACTTAGAGAGGGCTGTAAAGCACTATGAAGCAGTATATAAGTCTAAGTGCTATGTGTAGTAAGGCAGCTGAAAAATTTCACACTGGTTTTTTGGTTATTGCAAGAATTTGTCTTGAGATTTGCTACACTTTGCACATTAATATGCACTGAATTATTTCTCCAACTTCAACAGCCACATATGTTGTTCTTATAGTTCCAGGTCCTCCTGCTGGAGTTAAAGCAGCTGCAGCATCAGCTTCTACTGTGTTTGTATCTTGGCTGCCTCCCAACAAATTAAATGGTGTCATCCGAAAATATACTGTATTCTGCTCTCATCCATATCCCACAGTAAGTTAACCAATAGGTCACATGACCAAAACTATTGATTTGTATTATGTTGGTAGCAGGAAGGACATTGTAACCCATCAAATGTCTCCTAAATTGGAGTCTGGATTGTATGTGCATTGTCTAGGAGTAAGTCCCATCTACCTCATTAGGACTTACTTCTGAGTAGATACATGCAAGACTCTCTGTAGGTTTTCAAGGTAAATTGCTAGTAGTCAAAGAACAGTCAAAGATTGTTTTAAGACTGTGTCCTAAACCAGATACCAGGAGGTTAACATGAAATTACAGCTTCTGCCTAGTGTTTCTATGAAATCCACTTGCTATTGTTGAAGAATGAATCCTAGACAATTCCAGAATATATCAAAAGCACTTTTCAACTCTCATCTTAAAACCATGTCCTGGGATCAAACTGTCCTGAACTATGTGGAATTTATGTCTGAGTTGAAATTCATTGGATGGGATGATATTGAAAATCTAGTCCATTATGAACACTTCTACATTTCTGCAATTTGGGAGCTAATTCCAGTCAATCTATATATTTTTCAGTAAGGGAATGGCACAAGTTACAGTGTTTCTAAATGAATTTTGGCAAGGTCTAAGTAAAAATTGTTTTCACTATCTACTAAATGACATGTAGCATTATATTATTCTGCACATTAATGCAGAAACATCTAGAATTCTTTTTTTATAATAATTTATTAAAGATTGTTATTAGAACAGTGTAAGCTAGTGGTTCTCAACCTATGGTTCATGGGCCCCTAGAGATCTGCAGTGTTGTCACAGGGTGTCTGCAAAGGTTTGAAGAAATGTTATGATTTAAATCTTTAGTTAAGTCTTGGGGGTCTGTGGCCATGCTCTGTGGCCACAAAAAAGTATTTAAAGGGGGTCCATGGTGAAGAAAAGGTTGAGAACCATTGGTGTGAGCTAATACAAAATGAAAGAAAGAAAGAATAAAAATAAAAAGTAGAAGGTACAGAAAAGACAGGAAAGGAAGAGAAAAAAACAGAGAAATAGAAGGGAAAGAAGAAAATAAGAACATATAAACAAACAAACAAAAATTATGTTAAGTCCTCGACTTACGATGGACGTCCCTGATTGGCTAAGACGCATGGACTTGCCGGCGGGAGAATGTTGCCTTTCTATTGGTTGCTTGGTTTGACAGCTGTAGTATAAATAGCTGTCAAACCCGTTGTTTGCTGCTCTGTTTCTCTCTACCAGTTCTGTTAGCAATAAACGTTTCTGTTTGACTTTACCTGGTCTCGCCTCAGTTAATGACCCCAGGGTTGCCCTCAGAGCACTGGCGACGAGGATGGGATACTGAGGACAGAGACAGGTGATCAACAGCTGAAGTCACTAGCGCTAAGCCAAGGCGCTCAGCTGAGTCACTTCACGACGAGACGTCGTGTAGAGGAAATTCCTCTCAGAAACAGAGCCCATCCGTCTAAAGAATGGCACCTCCGACATTCGCCCCCTTCAACCAGGCTACAGAAACCTGGAAGTCGTATGAGGCACGGTTCGAATGTTTTCTGGAGGCAAACGACTACACGGGGCTGACCAGCAGCCGGAAAAGAGCGCACTTCTTAAATGCCTGTGGTCCCGAAATGTTTTCAGTCGCTATGACCCTGCTAGCTCCGGTTCCAGTACAGTCGGTGCCATGGGAGGTCCTCAGGGAAAAGCTCAAGCACCACTATGAGCCCACCCCTTCGTGCATCGCCCGCCGGTACGCTTTCAGGCAAATCTTACAAGCTGAGGGAGAGTCCATTAACCACTACATCGCCTCCCTCAGAACTGCTGCTTTTAACTGTGAATTTGCCGATCTAGAAGACTCCCTCCTGGAGCAGTTCGTGTGCGGTGTGAGGGACCCGAGGGTGCAACGACACTTACTCGAGAGAAAAGATATCACCCTCGCAACTGCCATTGAAGAGGCGCAGGCTTGCGAGCTATCAAGTAAGTCCACTCTAGAGATCCGCAAGGCGCAACCCAGCGCCCCCGTTAACAAGCCCAGCACCGTGCACTCAGAAGAACTAGACCCTGAGGTAGCCGAAGAAGAGGACGACGAATTTAGCCGCCTTAAAACTGTCAAAGGACAGGGAAACCCCTCAAACAAAACCTTCGTGGGGCCTCCCTGTCAAGGGTGCGGAGAATTGCACCCTAGAGCGGCTTGTCGCTTTAAGACCACCATCTGCCGCAGATGTGGTAAAAAAGGACACTTGGCACGGGTCTGCCGGGGCAATATACCTGGCACATCATCCAAGCCCCCCAGCAGACCGTTCCAGAAAGGGCCAAAGCCGGGAGGTGACTGTTTTGCCATTTCCAGGGCCAACAACGTCCCTATGAGGTCGGCCCGCCAAGAAAAAATCAGTCCCAACAAAAAAATTTACCTCACGGTAACCATTAAAGGAACCCCTTGCCGGATGGAGCTAGACACAGGGTCATCCAAATCTCTGATTTCCTGGGACACCCTGAAGCGGCTGACCCCAAAAATGCGAAAAAACGCCCTCCTGCCAAGTCAAGTTCGCCTCAGAGACTACCAAGGCAATGACATTCCCATCCTAGGTGGCGCCAATCTCCTTGTAGAACACAGAACCTTCACGGGCAAGCTACCCCTGCTCATCGTGAGAGATCCTCTGCCCAGCCTGCTTGGACTTGACTGGTTTGGTGCTCTGGGGCTGGGCATCACAGGCATCCATTCCACCACCCCACATGATTTTGAAGACATTCTGGCAGAATTCGCAGACGTCTTTAATGAAGAGTTAGGTAAATATAAGGGTTCACCCATCACCCTCAATTTAGACCCTAGAATTTCCCTATTAGGCTTAAGCCTCGACGAGTGCTTTTTGCTCTCAAGCCATTAGTCGATAAAGAGTTAGACAAACTCATAGCCCAGGGTATCCTAGAGCCCACGGACCACGCCCCCTGGGAAACCCCTATTGTCATACCCATCAAACCTGACGGGTCAATCCGCATCTGCGCGGATTACAAAAATTCCGTCAATAAGGCGCTCCAGGCCAATCCATATCCAGTGCCCGTGGTGCAACATTTATTGCACTCCCTGGGCAAGGGCTCCATTTTTGCCAAACTGGACATGGCACAGGCTTACCAACAGCTCCCCGTTGATTCGGCCACTGCTGCAGCCCAAACCATTGTCACACACAGGGGAGCATTCCTGTGCCATCGTCTCCAGTTTGGCATAAGCGTTGCCCGGGGCATCTTTCAGGGCCTTATGGAGCGACTCCTGCAGGGGCTGCCTGGAGTAGTCCCATACTTCGATGACGTCATCATCGCAGCTTCTAGCACAGCAGACCTTAAGGGGAAGCTAAGGACCGTCCTGCGCCGTTTCCAAACGGCTGGCCTCAGGCTCAAGAAAGAAAAATGCAGGATTGGGGTATCCCAGGTAGAATTTTTAGGCTATCTAATTGATGCCTCCGGCATTCACCCCACACCATCTAAGATAGCTGCCATCAAAAGGGCCCCCACACCCACAAACAAAACTGACCTACAAGCCTTCCTTGGCTTCTTAAACTTCTACAGCTCTTTCCTCCCTCACAAGGCCACTGTTGCTGAGCCCCTTCACCGTCTCTTAGACAAAAAGACCCCCTGGCGTTGGGGCACCCGAGAAGCCTCCTCCTTCTCAGCAGTCAAATCTCTTTTGACATCTGAGGCAGTCCTCGTTCAGTACACGGACAGCCTCCCCTTGATCTTAGTGGCAGACGCTTCCCCCTTTGGCATTGGGGCTGTCCTCAGCCACGTCCTTCCTGATGGCACAGAAGCCCCAATTGCCTTTTACTCCCGCACGCTCTCCTCCACAGAGCGTAATTATGGACAAATTGACAAGGAAGCCCTGGCCGCCGTGGCGGCCGTCAAGCGCTTCCACGAATATTTATATGGCCGTCCGTTCACTCTTGTGACGGATCACAAGCCCCTCCTAGGCATTCTAGCTGGCAACATTGCAACACCCCAGGTTATCTCCCCCCGCATGTCACGCTGGGTCGAATTTCTAGCTGCCTATTCTTACACCCTCATTCACCGTCCTGGCAAACACCTTGCCCACGCTGATGCTCTCAGCCGCTGCCCCCTCCCCATCTCTGTCTACGACCTCTCTCCTATTTCTCCTGTCCTTCTCATTGACTCTTTACATCTGCCAATCACTGCTGCCGACATTGCTGCCCACTCTGCCAAGGACCCCATTGTCCGCAGAGTTTTAGACTGGGTGCGCAGGGGATGGCCACCAGGTAATGTGGGACCTGAGTTCAAACCCTACTATATGAGGCAGCACGAACTATCTGTGCTGCGGGGGTGCCTGCTATGGGGCGATCGGGTTGTAGTGCCCGCCAAACTACAACAGCCAGTCCTAGAAGCCCTGCACGAGGGACACCCGGGCATAGGGAGAATGAAGTCCCTGGGATGCAGCTATGTCTGGTGGCCGAACTTCGACCACGCAGCCGCCCAGTGGGTTGCAGGGTGCCAACCCTGCCAACTCTCTAGACCAATGGCCCCCGCTGCCCCAGTTAGGGAATGGGAAATGCCCAAGTCACCATGGTCAAGAATCCATGTGGACTTTGCCGGGCCCTACCATGGGCAGACTTTCCTAGTGGTGGTAGATGCCTATTCTAAGTGGGTAGAGATAGTCACCATGGCACCCACCACATCTGCTGCACTCATAAGAGCCCTACAAGGACTATTTGCCACCCATGGGCTGCCAGACGTCATTGTCTCGGACAATGGCCCCCAGCTATTCTCCGCAGCCTTCCAAGTGTACTTAGCAAGCCACGGGATTCGCCATGCCAGGGTGGCACCATTTTGCCCTGCCAGTAACGGGCTGGCAGAGAGGGCCGTGAGGTCAGCCAAAGAAACCCTATCACGTTACGGCCATGGGGATTGGCAAGAGAAACTGACCCGCTACCTGTTGGCACAACATGTAACTCCATGCCCCTCGACCAACAGGAGCCCCGCAGAACTTTTGATGGGTCGACGCCTTCACACTGACCTCGACCGTCTTCACC